ATTAATCTTGGGGAAGAGAGGGAAAAGGGAAAAGGGAAAAGGGAAAAGGGAAAAGGGAAAAAAGGGAAAAAAGGGAAAAAAGGGAAAAAAGGGAAAAAAGGGAAAAGGGAAAAGGGAAAAGGGAAAAGGGAAAAGGGAAAAGGGATTTTTCCCGGAATATTAAACTTTAAATTCTTGAGTTCTAATCAGTTCAGCTTGGAAAATAAAGCATTTACAGTTGCTACTGTGTATTTACATATTAAATCCATTATCACTGTTTTGCTCCAACAAGACCCAGAAAAATCTGAAGTGATGGGTCCAAACCAACCTCCTGATGGCTGGACTTGGTCAATTTAGAAAATATAAAATTATATATATTATATAAATATATATATAATATTTTATATATATATATAAATATATTATATGGATATAAAAATATTCCAACTTTGGAGGCCCAGTAATACAAGAAACTGCCCACAGGTGCAGGGGTTTGTGCATCTCTTTGGGGTTTGGTTACCACGACTCATAACTTGAGTTTCTCAGTTGAGTTCCTACATGGACATAGGACACTCCATTCTCAACCATGTTATCCATTCCTCTGGGATAAATTTATGTTGTTCCTGATAAACTTCATTGAAAAAAAAGATCAAGAAGTATTAGGATTGTTTCTAGATGTATCCAAAAAAAACTTTTTCATTATTCCTGAATTTCTTTTGGAAGAGTTTCTAAATTTTATTTAATAATTTATCACGGATCAATGCACCTTTTCCATGCTACATGAGCAGAAAAGGAGTATTTGGGAAAACAGCCAGTCAAGTTTGGGTTAGTTTTTATTCCAATGAACATCTGAACAACATCTATGGAAGGTGTCCCTGCCCGTGGCAGGGGGTGGAACTGGATGGGCTTTAAGGTCCTTCCAGCCCAAACCATGCTGGGATTCCACAATCCTATAGAAGTTCTGATGGTACCTCGTGGAAAAACAAGAGGAATGGAGGAAGGACAATTTTAAAAACAGCATAAAAAAAAATGTCTTTAGCACCTCTTGGAATGCAAAACTCCCAAGGCCTTTAAAAGCCAAATCACACACACAAAAAAAATCACTCCGGTTCAAAAGCAACAACTGCTTAATAAAACTCAACAATAGGCTGAGAAAAAGCAAATCCTGCCTCCAGATGAAGCCATAAATTACATTGGGGCAGAATGTTGTTCCTGAGCCTGGAATTTGTCCAGCACATGGGGGTTAATGCCCCTGTTCCTGCCAGGAACTTTCCAGCCCAGGCCCAGAGGTCAAACCTGGGCTCAGGTTTCCCTCAGCAGCTGCCACCTTGCAGCACCACATCCCCAATTATTGCTCCCACTATTAACACTCGTCCAGCAGATCAAATTAACCCCTGACTGGTGTGTTATTAACCAGAGAAAAACAGTTTTTCTGTCCCAAAATGGGTTTTTTAGGATGTCATCGCAGATTTATCCGTTCATTCTTAGTCCTCAGGTAGAGGAATTTTCGACCTAAGAAATTATTCTGGATATTAAATCTAATTTTTGCTTGGCACAAAGATGGTGTTTCACTGTGATGAGGCAGCAGAGATTTACAGAGCACTGCCCCAAACTCACCATTCCCAGGTAACCCTGATTTCTCAGAACTCTGAAGGTAAGATGCAAAGTCCAAAAAAACCAAAAAAAAAAACCAAAACAAACAAAAAAAGGAGTCCTGTAGCAACACAAATCACCTGTAATTGATGCAAGGCCATGCCTCACTTAAGGGTGTACTCCTTCAAGCAGGAATAACTGAGGAATCTAAAATATAGAATTTCTCAGCTCAAATCTGAACTTGATTACACATATTCCTTCTGTAGGTACAGACAACAAATTCAGCTCAGGATGCTCCAACCCCAGATTCCTGTTGGTTCCCATGTCTAAGTAGAACTAGTGGCAGGTGACATTTATATATAGAAAACAGCTTTGAAAAATTAGAGTTATTGCATCAAATGTGTGGTGCTGCCCTTACAGGAGCATTGCCAAACTGACAAACAGTTTTCTTTCCAGAAGCTGCCCCTGTTGTTTCATGTGCAACCCCTCACACCATAAAATCCATTATCCCAGAGCCCAAATGGTTGTTTCCCCTTCGGGTTTCACACTTCCAGGAAACCCCTGACACAGTTTGTGTTCCCTGTCTCAGGGACACAGGTGAGGAAGGCAGGTGAGTGTCAACGGGATATGAGTGAGGAGCTTCTCAAAAATGGGGAATTCTGCTCCACAGACTCCTCCAAAGAGGAGTTTTCCTGGATTTTCCATCATTGTACAAAGTTCTTTGCCCCATCCCTGGGAGTGTCCAAGGCCAGGTTGGACGGGGCTTGGAGCAACCTGGGCTAGTGGAAGGTGTCCCTGCCCATGGCAGGGGTGGCACTGGATGAGCTTTAAGGTTCTTTCCAACCTGGCCTTGGACACTTCCAGGGATCCAGGGGCAGCCACAGCTTCTCTGGGCAACCCGTGCCAGGGCCTCCCCACCCTCCCAGCCAGGAATTCCTTCCCAATATCCCATCTAAACCTCCCCTCCTTCAGCTCCAGCACACTCCCCCTTGTCCTATCCCTCCATGCCCTTGTGAAATCCCTCTCCCCCCTTCCCTAAGCCCCCTTTTAATTCCTATTAAAGTATCTTGCAAGATCTACAGAACAGGAAATAAAGATAAAACTTGATCAAATGGAGCTACAAAGAGTCATCTGTGTCACTAATTCATCACTAAACAAGAACAAAAGTCCACAGATCTGACAGAGAAGAAAGATTTCCCATTTTATTACTGTTGAAAAATTACAAGAATCACGATTAGTCCTATTACAGCAAGTCCCAAAACGTTCAAATTATAGAACTACCGGAGGAAAAGAAGAAAAATGAAGCTGGAGAGTAAATTTGCAGCAGGGGGACCCCCCCCTTCCCCCAAAGTGACACCCACCAACACCCACCCACCGAGCCAAAGGTTAAGTCATTTAGTCAAGTTCAAAGCTCTTCAAAGAGCCCTTAGATCCAGATAAGCCCATATGTTCCCAAAAATTCTGTGAAAAGCCATTACTTTCCAAGCTGCTTTTCATGTCCGAGCTGCAGAACACGCAGATGCTTGGCATGGCTCGGGATCCCGAAATTCCCACCCCGGATAATCCGGGCTCCCCCGATCCCTTCCCCACCTCCAGCCCTGGGAAAGGGGCTTTTTACTCCATTGGGCCGCTTGTAAAAAAACCCAAAGTCTCCATAAAAGCCCATTCAGCGACTGCACAATAAGTGTTAATTTGCTAATTTCTTCACAGGTAATCAATTAAAATGTAAAATATTGGATAAAATTAGTTGCACTAAATTTCCCAGCTGCTCCATAAGCGTAATTAGTTTCACAAGGGCCATATGTATCCAGAGCAGAGACGGAGTTGAAACAAATAAGCGGATTTTAAAACAAGTTGGAGGAAATCTGCATTTAATTAGCAGGTGGGCACTACAACTGCATAATGTTTTTATACATTTATATTTATGAAGTGCCAGAAGATCTAAAGGCTTTTTAAAATGGCGTTTATTGTTTGAATGGGAACTGTTTTGCTGCATGCTAAAGTGATTTAAATCCTCCCAGCTCCGCTTTGAAAAAAAATCATAAATGGTGAAAGAAAACATGTGGAAAACTGTAAAACTAGAAAGAATTTGCGACAGAAAGCAGAGACACATACCATGAGCAAAAGGAAACTACACTTAATTAAATGTACACTACATCTGGAATATCAGCCTAATAAAACCTGCAACTATTAATTTTCATTGTTCTGAAGGAAATGAGGTCAGTGGCGTTTAGTATTTCCCCAATTATCTTGCACTAAAGCTCTGAACTATATCTGAGAGGGCCAATCTAATCTGTGCAAAACCCTACAACTGGAAAAGAGTCACTGAGAGGCTTTTTGAAAGGAAAGAGGAGTTAGAGGCCAAAAACAAGACAGTGCTTGTTTTCTCTTCTTTGAGCTCTTCCAGTGAAGGACAATTTATGAAAAAATAATGTATTTTGTTGGCAAACAGCAACCCCCCCACTGCAATGAACGTTCCTGACATGTCAAGTCCTGGAATTCTTCCACGTGTCTCTCACCTGCCACAATCCTAATTAGATTATTATTGGCTCAATAGCCACAAACAAACCCAACAAATTAATACTTGAGCCATAAATCCAAAGTCTGGGCCAGAACAATGAGACACAACTGCTCTGCATCAAACCTGGACATTCACCTTGGTAATAAAGATAGAGTGCAAACACACAAGGAACTGCAGAAAAATGCCATGTTCTCTTTCAAAGCATATTAAGAGAAAGTTTCTTGTTTAACTCAACTTCACCACCAGGAAAAAAAAATCATGTACAAGTTATTGGAAAGGTAAAATAATTTCAAATATCAATTGCAGTCGTTCAGGGCAGATAAATTATTAATACTATATATATATTTAATGGGAATATGGTACATCTATAACACATGTCAGGTCATTATTAGTCTGCAATTTGAAAATGCATGTAGTTGAGGGAGTTAAATATAGATAATAAGGGA